TTGCACAGAATATCAATTTGTTTCAGATCTCGTTAACCAAGCTAGTATAAAAATCAATAATTCAGTAAAAACTACAAACGCAAATATATTTATAGTCCATTGTGCAGCTTACACTGAATTGGGGGGGTGGGGGGTACAATGGGAGATATGTCTCATCTGTGTCAGTGGTGTTTTCATTTTTGGCCGCACGCTTGAGTCTGTTGCCAAAATCGGAACCATGGAAATATATTGTATGATATCCACTTGAACGATTTGTTGATCACAAGATTAATGGGTTTGGGATTAAAAGACTGTCACAACCCTTACTTTCCGACATATTGAACGAAGGACGTTTCCACTTATATTCGTATTCTGTACTTATAAAGAATGCAAGTCTCTCACTGCAAGTGGGTGTGTTAATTACTCACTTTTGTGAAGTGGCTATATCTAGCATAAATTCTACCTTTACTCATCTAGATGAAGTGAGCGATTCTTATGAAATGCCACACAAACTTCTCGTCTTAAAAAAAATTGTTTCACTGAATTCTGTCTGCATTTAATCTTATGTGATACCAACTATATTGAGTGGATGACTCTCGAGTGGCGATACAATATCGTAATAATTGGGCTACTGATGTTGGCTGTTGTCTAGGTCAGTAAGTGTACTTTATTGTGGAATATTGTTTTTAACCTAGGTTAATCTGAGTTCGTGACAACTCGCATATTAAGTTTGGCTTGTAGAATTGGAAAGTATTTTTATTTTTGGTGAATTCCTTGAGTGATTATATATTTTGTGACGATAAGAAAATTTTGTTTTTAGAGATTCATAGATGGCAGTATGGTACAGACCGTAGTGGTTATTTGTTGAAAAGATAAGGGTAATATGTGATCTCACACTATGCTGAAGATAAAACACAGTTTGACCTGATATTTTCAGGAAAAGTGAAAAATATTCTCAAATGAAATCAATTCAAAATATTCTTTACTGAATAGGATAGTTTCTGGGGTAAATAGGGAGGAAAAGGATTAGATTATGCTATCCAGAAGCAAGACTGGAAAATATTATCGACAGAGCAAATGATGCAGTAAAAGGCGCCAGGAAGATGAAACCTATATAGTGTACACAGGGGCTAATGATGTAGGGAAGGGTAAGTCAGGGAAGCTTATTGTTAAATACAAGACACTGATAAAGGCATTCAAAGAAGAAGACCATACTAGGTTAATTCAGTCAAGGATACCGCCAAGACTTAACCACAGGGATGAAATTATAAATAGGTCAATATGGCTGACAGGAGCGTCGAGAGGCCCCGAGGCAAACATCCTCGCCGGGCCTCCTTTCTCTGTCCTTTTAAACATTTTAAAGAACTTATTAAAAAGAAGATTATAAATTAGGACAGCAACGAGCTCATAAACAAGGAAAAATCATACCAGCAGCCGTTTTTAGTTCACAGTATAAACGTTAATAAAGTAACAACAAATATTTATTAAATCTATAAAGTAAGTTGTTATTGTTATTTCAATCATTTTTACTGTATCAAGCGTCTATATGCAAAGAAAAGCCAAAAACTATGCTTTTTATGATTAAATGAAGATATAGCCTAAAGGTGTTTTGCGGGCTTTTCGGCATAACAAGGTTTCATTTGCCTGGGTCCCTGGGCAGTTGTCCTTTTGCCACCCCCCTTGTTGGCGGGCCTGATGGCTGGATGCTAGGCTTAGGCCATTATATAAGGAAAAGCAGGTTGGCTGTTTCTAATTTGTGGATTCAGCTCAGTGAGAAAAGAAAGATTTTTAGAACGGATGGTTTACAATAGAATAGTGTAGGGGCTGGCTTGTTTACAAGAGCTATCTGTTGTGAAAATTGCAGTTTTTATCCATTATTCTACTCTTCTGAAGAAAACAAATTTACGACAACGACTACAAAATTGGAAACGTTCATTAAAATTCTAAAACCCAAATTACAATTTAAAAATAATTTGTTACCAAACATGCATCAAGGGTTAATGCACATTTAAGGATTCTGTGATTATTCAGTTTTTCAAGATATAAGGAATTAAAAAGCGAGTTTTATCTATTCAGTTATATTTACGCGGTTGATAAAGTTCAATTATTTTTTATCTATTTGGAAGTTATTTCAGAGTTTTTCAGTTGAAAGAATAGATAGGTTTTGTCTGCCACCAAAATTGTTACTAAAGTTTTTTGCAAGTACAAAACTTGTAACCTCAATTACTAAAACTGGTGTATGAATAAACTGAGACACCTAAAGTAACTTACTTTTTTACTGTTCTCTGTGTTTCGGGTGGGGTGAATATATAAACATTATGAGGTACAAACTACCACTGCTACTGTGAGAACCATTTTAAAGTTTGGAGTAAATACATTCCATTATGAATATTGTGTGTAAATTTATCTACGTAAATTACAATGCTTTCATACGCAAAATATCTAATTTTTATATTAAATGTTAAGGTTTGTAAAGCAATGTTTTTCTCGTGCTTTTTTCACATCTTGCCTATCTGTCAGGCAAAGTAACTTTCAACTTAACATTAAAAATACTTTTGTGCATCAGAAAATTTCGAACGTTCATATGCGAAATTTTTATAATGTCCAAATAGTTACCAAACGTTTCGTAAGAGAAAACTTTATATTTTGTCTATTGTCTTCACTAATCAATTTCTGTTCGGTTCAGAAAATTTGAACGATCTCGTAACCACCATAAAAAAAATATGAAATAAGCATAAACTATGCATCTTTCATTCTGGAATGAACACAAAGGGATTTAAATTGATAGTTATTGGACGTGTTTGTTGTGAAAATATAAGGTAGTGACAGTACTTAATTCTACTATATTTTAAGTAAAGGTTTTAATAATAGTTCAGTACAGTTTCCATCTATTGAGAGATAACTGAACTCCCGAGTA